ATCAAAGCATTAGCCGGGTGTGGTGGTGCATGCCTGTAGTTCCAGCTACTTGGAAGGTTGAGGTGGAGGGATCACCTGAGTCCAGCAGGTTGAGGCTGCGGTGACCAGAAGCGTGCTACTGCCCTCCAGCCTGGTTGACAGAGTGAGACTACAACTCAAAAAAAAAAAAAGGAAAGAAAGAAGGTTGGCGAAATGTTGAAAGAGTTAAGGCTGGGTTTGTTACAGTATACCACTCTATTTTTGTATGTTTGAAATTTCCATTCATAAACAGTAAAAATAAATGAAGTGACTTGCAGAGAGGCAGGCAGTAAAATATAGTGTTTAAGAGCTCTGGGCCCAGACACACCCTGGTGTTCCATATTTGTCTCTTCATTTGCCAGTACTGTAGCTTTGAAACTGGTAATGGTACTGGTTTATAATCTCCTGGTCCTGAGGTTGGCTCTGCCACTCATGCTGGGGGCTTTGGCCATGTAACTTACCCTCTGTGAGCCTCTGTAGCTCTGCTGCAACATGGGAACATCATGATCACTGCGTCACTGAGTTTCTTGGAGGACTGAATGCGAAGATGGATGGAAAGCACTTAGCACAATGCTCGGCACATAGTAAGTACTCAGTAAATACTTCAGTGAGAGAAGCACTGGTTTAGAAATCAGGCTACCTGGATATGAACCCCAGCTCAGCTCTGCCACTTGTGGCTGTGTGACTCCGGCCAAGCCAATTAATTATCTGAACCTCATTTCCTCTTGGGAAAAAGCGAAGATCATAATATCTCCCATGCAGGGCTGTTGTGAGGATTAAATGACATGTTTTGATGCCCAGCGTGGCCCACATGGGACTTTCCCTTTCTCACCCTTGACTTTCAGCAGCACTGGCCTTGCCAAATCCCAGGCTGGAGTTGATCCCACTGTCCATTTACTTGGCTTCTGCACCCAGACTGCCAAGTGCGGCTGAGGAAAGTCAACAGGACCATGTGAATGACTTCTTGCAAATGACAAATCTGTGTTGGGAAATATCAGCAGGCCCTTCTGCTCCCAGGCAGTCTTTCCACCTCCCTCCAGGGCATCTCCTCTCATGTTCTACACTGGCTGGTCCAAATCTTTTCTGTGATCCACTCATGCTGCCCTTCCCACTGCCTTAGCCTCAGAAGTGACCTCAATCCAGGTCATCAAATATGAACACCTTTCTCTCCACCTCCCCAAATTTCTGCTCTTCACCTCCGTCTTTCCCTCTCTTCCATTCTCCCAACTCAAAGGTTGGATCTTCTTTCTCCTTCTCAAGATTTTAGAATCTATCCCGTTATCCCTAAGTCCCCATCTCCAGTTCTGTTTCTCCACTGGGTACACCATCTTAGCCAAAAAATCTTGCTCAAGTACCTTAACCTTCCCTAGGTCTGACGGTGACTCAGCTATTCTTTTATTTAGCTCACTTATTCACTCGACCATTCATTTAAGAAACATTTGTTTAACGCCCACTACATGCCAGGCACTGGGGATGCAGAGATGAATAGAGACAATCTTTGTCCTCAAAGTCTTCAAAGTCCAGAGGGAGAGAATTGGGCTCACACAGTGATGGGATGATAAATATGACAAGTGAGACACAAAGGTGGACCATTTGATGCAATGATTGGCTTAGTGGGAACCTCAAGACGACTTCCAGCTTTCTGGTTGGTACAAATGGATAGATGGTTAGGGTTGGTCACCAGACATGAGATAAGAAAAACAGAAAGGAGTGAGGGAAGATGATGTGTTCTGTTAGAGGTATAATGAGTTTGAGGTGTTACCAGAGTATCTCAAAAGAAATCTCCAACAAATCTTCAGTTTAGGGGGACTGGAATTAGAGATTTGAGAACCATTGGCATCTAACCATTGGAGCTAAAATTATGAATGTTTATGGGGTGCTTTCTGCTATAAGTAACAGCAATTACACTATGATGACATTTATTATCTCACATCTTAAGTAGTCAAGAGGCGAAACATTCTAGGGTTGGGTAAGTTTACAGCACAGGAGGGCCATCATAGCCCAGTTGCCTTCTATAGTTCCTCTGCCACCCACAGGATGGACTTCATCCTCAGACTTCTCTCCTCATGGTTGCAAGATAGCTGCCCCACTCTCTCACAACCCCATTCGAAGGCAAGAATGAGGCTGGGTGCAGTGGCTCATGCCTATGATCCCGGCATTTTGTGGGGTCAAGGAGGGCAAATTTCTTGAGTCCAGTAACTCGAGACCAGTCTGGACAACATAGCGAGAGCTTGTCTCTACAAGAAAAGAAAAAAATTATCCAGGCACGGTGGCACGTGCCTATAGTCCCAGTTACAGGAAGTTGAGGCAGAAGAATTACCTGAGCCCAGAAGTCAAGGCTGCAGTGAGCTGGGATCATGCCACTGCACTCAGTCTGGGTGGGTGACAGAGAGTAACCCGGAATTGAAAAATAAAAATAAAAAAGCAAAAACGAAGCTTTCTTCTTGCATATCAATGTTTATTCTGGAGGAAATCATTGATTTTTAGCCAACAGGTATGTATGTCCTTGGGTCTCATTGGCCCTAACTGCATAATTAAGCAAAAAGGAATAGAATTCTTATGATGACTTAAATCCTTTATGACGTCTGTGGCAGCAGAGAGACCCACCTTCCTAGAACACAAGGCTGCCTGACACCTGAACAGAACCAAGGCCCTGAGGGCAAGGACTAAGAGATGGCCTCTTTTCAGCTTTCATCCTCTTCTGATCCCTGGCTGGCCTGGCGGGGTTGACTTGACCCAAACCCAGTCCAGTAGAGATGCGAGGAACTTGGACTCCTGAGTCAGGCATATCTGGGTCCGTGTCCTAGAGCCACCTCTTGCTAGCTGTGTGACCTCATAAAAGTTATTTTACCTCTCTGTGCCTGAGCACCCTCACCTGTGGCATGGGGATATAATGGTTTTTAAGTTTGTTGTTGAGATGATGAGATGAAAATACAAGTACAAAGCATTTAGCACAGTGCCTGGTACATGAGGAATGCTCAGCAAAAACTAGCCACTACCATTTTGGAGGAACGTCCTCTGCTCAAAATTCTCCCGCTTTTTGTTTTCAAGGCCTCCTTTTCCTGTAACTGGTTCTTCTTCTTCTCCTCCCATTTCCTCTCTTCTCCAAGGTTGATTTCTCTGTTTTAAGTCTTGTTTCATGGTTCCCATCATACTTCTTTCTTTTTTTATTTTTGTTTTTCTTTTTTTTAGAGGTGGGGAGTCTCTCTATGTTGCCCAGGTGGGTCTTGAACTCCTGGCCTCAAGCAATCAGTTCTCCCATCTCAGCTTCCCAAAGTGCTGGGATTACAAGTATGAGCCACCACCTGTGGCCTTCCTTCTTTCTTGAGATCCTACATATGCCTCATGTATGTTCCACGGCCCCTTCGGCTCATCAGGCCCCTGGGGCCTGATGCCACTGCTCCCTGTCTTCTGCCCCAGAACCTTAGTCTGAATGACCCCGAAGTTCCTGCATGAGATTCTGCCTTAAAGACAGTCATCAGGCCGGACTCGGTGGCTCAGCCTGTAATTCCAGCACTTTGGGAGGCCGAGGCGAGTGGATTGCCTGAGCCCGCGGGTTCGAGACCCACTTGGGCAATTTGGCAAGACCTTGTCTCTATAATAAATAAAAAAATAGCCAGGCGTGGTAGCACACACCTGTAGTTCCAGCTCCTTGGAACGCGGAGGCAGAAGGATAGTTGGAGCCCAGCAGGTCGAGGCTGCGGTGGCTAGGAGCATGCCACTGCATTCCAGTCTGGGTGACAGAGTGAGATTCCAACTCAAAAACAAAAAACAAAAAACAGCCACTAGAGCAGCTCTAATGACTTCGACCTGCCAACATGGAAGATGTCCTAAAAAACACGGAGAAAAACTGAAATTTGTGCAAAGAGCCAAGGGGAGCCTCCAGTTAACTTCTTTGTGTCCAGACAAGGCTTCATGGCACTGCACAAAAGTTATTCCTGTCCATCTCACTTCCTGGGCTGTGAACATCTCAGGGCAGGGAAACAGATTACTCATCTATCTGTCACCTTGGTGCCTGATATATACTAGAATTCAGAAAAATGTCTGATGAATGAATAAGATTCCTGGCTTTTTCCTTTACTTTCTTTTTTTGGGGGAGGTCATAATCTCACTCTGTCACCCAGGCTAGAGGGCAGTGGCAAGCTCCTGGCCACCACAGCCTTGACCTGCTGGGCTCAGGCGATCCTTCCACCTCAGTCTTCAAAGTAGCTGAAACTACAGGCATGCATCACCACGCCCAGCTAATTTTTTAAATTTATTATAGAGACAAAGGCTCACCAAGTTGCCCAGGCTTGTCTCGAACTCGTGGGCTCAGGCAATCCTCTTGCCTCTGTCTCCCAAAGTGCTGGGATTACTGGTATGAGCCACTGCGCCTGACGTCTTGTACTTTCTAAGTGACTTTGAATAAGGTCTTTTCCTTCTCTAGAACTATTTCAGAATCTATAAAATGAGGGGACAAGACCGCATCTCAAGGGAGGTCTTTCAACATGAAGTGGAATAAACGGCCAGGGGATGGAGGGACAGGCTGGCTGGGATGGGGTGTCCACAGTCTCCAACAAAATGCTGTGCCTGAGATGGAGGCTCAGAGAGGTTGTGCAGGATCCAGAGGAAGGGATGGAACTGATTTAGGTCAGTGAGGGGGCATTGGCCATCAACCACTCGAATCCCAGTGGCCCACTTGCTGGGTCTCATCCCTGACCTACTAGCCTGGAACTGGGGGAGACCTATTCCTGGAGGCGACTCTGGGTACTCAGTCCTTCCTAAGCCTCCTCTGAACAGGCTGTTCTTGTTTACGACCCCCATCCCAGAAGAACAGCGATTGCTCACTCTTGCATGTGATTTGAGAGTGCCAGTCTTTCAGGCCTGGAGGAAACTCAAGCCCCGCCAGCCACTTGGAATCGGAATGCTCAGCTGGTCCCCTCCCGGGGCTCATGTGACCAAGATCCAGCTATAAATATCGGAGGGGCCTTAGACCAAGGCAGAATTCGGGCCCTAGGAGGAGGAAGCAGAGAGGACCCGGCCGGGTGTTTTGTGACAAAGGCAAGGCCCCAGGTCCACTTAGAGCAAGACAGGTAGAGGAAGCCGCTAACTGGGCTCCCACATCTCCCCACAATATGGATTATAAGTCAAGCCTCATCCAGGATGGGAACCCCATGGAGAACTTGGAGAAGCAGCTGATCTGTCCCATCTGCCTGGAGATGTTTACCAAGCCGGTGGTCATCTTGCCATGCCAGCACAACCTCTGCCGGAAGTGTGCCAACGACATCTTCCAGGTCAGTGCTGGGCATAGCCCCGTCCTGGGACCGCAGGCGGCTACTCAGCTTCCCTTCCCTCTTAGCCTTCCAGCCAGGATGAACTCTTTCCCTTTCGAAGTGAGCCCTCGCAGAGGCCTCTGGACTGGGCTGAGGGGTCTGGGAGGCAGCTCTGGCTGCCCCAGTGCTTCTCCATGACGCATGTTTCCCCTCTCCACCCAGCCCACAGCTCCCCCACCCCTGAGCACTGCTGTTGACTCTTCAGTGGAGAGTCAAATGCCTCAAGTGATAAGAGGGAAGGCAGGGGAGAGGAGAGAGAAACCAGACCCTGGGGCTGGAGCCAGCTCCTGGTGGCAGGGGGCCCAGAGCTTTGGAAGGAGGATGGCGAGGGGCACTGGGCAGTAGAGATATCTTCCCTTTGAGGCTGTGCCCTACAATGAAGCAAAAGGAAGGGATCCATCTCTTTGAGAAAGGAAGAGGACCAGATGCGGTGGTTCATGCCTAGAATCCTGGCATTTTGGGAGGCCAAGGTGAAAGAATTGCCTGAGCCCACAAGTTCTAGACCAGCCTGGGCAACTTGGTGAGACCTCGTCTCTACAATAAATCCAAAAATTAGCTGAGCATGGTGGCACATTTCTGTAGTTCCAGCTACTTGGAAGACTGAAGCAGAAGGATCGCCTGAGCCCAGCAGGTAGAGGCTGCGGTGGCCATGAGTGTGCCACTGCACTCCAGCCTGGGCAACAGAGTGAGACTCCAACTCAGAAAGAAAAAGAAAGAAAGAGGAGGGATGTCCTGGCTGAAGGTGGGACTCATGATTCCCCAAGGGCCATTAACAAAATGTTCTTCTGGCTGGATATGGTGGCTCATGCCTAATCCCAGCATCTTGAGAGGCCAAGGTGGGAGGATCTCTTAAGCATAGGCATTTGCTATCAACCTAGGCAAGATAGTGAGGTCTTGTCTCTGTTTTTAAAAAAAGTTCTCCCACTATTTTATCTTATTTTTATTTTTGGACATGGAGTCTCACTCTGTTACCAGGCAGAAGTGCAGGGGCACGCTCCCAGCCACCGCAACCTCAATCTGCTAGGTACCAGCAATCCTTCTGCCTCAGTTTTCCAAGTAGCCGGAACTACAAGTGCACGCCACCACGCCCAGCTAATTTTTTTGATTTATTGTAGAGATGAGGTCTCACCAAGTTGCCCAGGCTGGTCTTGAACCTCTGGGCTCAGGCAATCCTCTCGCCTTGGCTTCCCAAATTGTTGGGATAACAGGCTTGAGCCACTGCTCCTGACTATTTTATTTTTAAAGTATCAACACTAGGAATTTGTTTTAATTGTAATGCCCATTTCATAAGTGGACAAATTGAGGCTTAGAAAGATAAGGTTGCTTGCCCAAAGTCACTGAGAGAATAAACATAGCTCGACCCCAGCTCTGCTGACTCCCAAGCCTGTAGATTGCTTAGTTGCTTCTCAGATGCTGTGTGTGAGCAGGCTGGTTCACACAGCAACCCAGGAACTCCAGGCAGTTTGGGAGGACAGGAGTAGTTGGGGTGAGCAGGGAGAAGGAGAGTAAGAAGGGAAAGGGCTGAGGAGGAAGCTCCAGCCTCACCTTGGCCTTTGCCACTCACAGGCCGCAAATCCCTACTGGACCAACCGAAGTGGCTCAGTGTCCATGTCCGGAGGCCGTTTCCGCTGCCCCTCCTGCCGCCATGAGGTGATCATGGACCGTCACGGAGTGTATGGCCTGCAGAGGAATCTGCTAGTGGAGAACATCATTGACATCTACAAGCAAGAATGCTCCAGGTTGGTCCTCCCAGGTGCTGGGGGCCCATCCTCCCTCCCAGCCATGTCGTGCCCTGCTCTCCTGAGCTTCCTCCTCCTCCTTTATCTGCTTAAGATCCAGTCCCCTCGATGGATTGGCTACACTAGCCAGTTCAGAGAGCCATCTCCTTCCTCCTTCCTCCTGAGGCAGGACCGGAGGCCCATACCCCCCATTCCTGGCTCTTGAGATCACTCAGTGGATGGAAAGGGGCCCAGACATTAGGCTGCCCTCATAGGAGATACTGAGACAAAGACCAGGGGAAAGATGAGATGTGAGAGGGAGAGAGCCACTGGGCCAGCTAAGAACCCCTGAACCTCAGAGAAAGTGCCCAGCAAGAACATAGCCAGGTCATCTATTAGGATAGCAACAGTTATCCTCCCATGGGTTGGGCGGCACAGTGCTGGGCACTAGAAATGCTTCATCTTAACCTCACAATAACTATGGATCAGGCATGACTTTTATTATCCATCTTTTTTTTTTATATCAGAGTCTCACTCTGTCACCCAGACTGGAGTGTAGTGGCATGCTCACAGCCACCACAGCCTCAGCCTGCTGGGCTCAGGCAATCCTTTCACCTCAGCCTTCCAAGTAGCTGGAACTACAGGCACACAACACCATGCCTGGCTAATTTTTTTGTAGAGATGAGATCTTGTCAAGTTGTCCAGGCTGGTCACAAACCCCTGGACTCAAGCAATCCTCTTGCCTCTGCCTCCCAAAGTGCTGGGATTACAGGTGTGAGCCACCACGCTCTGCTATTATCCCCATTTCACAAATGAGGAAACTGAGACTCAAAGAGGCAATGTCAGTTAGCCAAGGTTTCCCAGCTGGGAAGAGCTGGGAGTTGACCTGGTTGATCTAGCTCCAAGTCTCCCTGTTAATAAAACAGTAACTCAGTTGCAGGAGAATCTGTGAGAGGTGGAGGTTGTGTGGCGTTGGCCTCAAACTGGGGAGAGACCCAGCTGTGGGGGAGATCTCTACAGATCCAGATATCCCGACGAGACTCTTGGGCTGCTGACCTCACAGCCATTATGGGCCAAAACCTTCACGGGTACATGGCTGCAGGCAGAGCAGCCCAAGGGAAGGTCACAGAGCAGACACAGAGAAAAAACCCTAGCCTGGGGAGCTGGGTCTGCCAGTTTGCCTCTGTGACTAATGCATTGTGGGATCTTTGGGGCTTTGCTTCTCCTGTCTGTAAAAGGGGACACAGGTGCGAGTCACTGCACCGGGCCAGAGACTTGTCTTTTTGCATCTTTGATCCTGGGTCCCTGAGTTGGTAGGGGTCTTCCTTTACCACCTGCCTCTATCCTTTGGTAAGGGATCCTGGAGTAGCAGGAAACGCAGACATGAGGCAAGATCCTGAGGTTCTGGTGCTTGTGCCACTGCCCTCCCAAGCCCGGGCTTTGGCATCTGGGTTCAGATTCAGATTGTTCTGCTTCTTGTTCCTTTTGGACTTGTGAGTTCACCTCTCTGAGCTTGGGTTTGCTCCCGTGACTACTGCAATCATGGCAGAAGTTGTCTGTAATGAAAGTGTAGTGCTGGGACAGGGCAGACCCTCAATAAAGAGCTGCCGTCGTTATCATTCAACTATGTGGAAAGGCCTTCAGGGGTTCAAACAAAACAAGCTCTCCATAGGGGGACACCAGGTAGCTAATATTTGATGTGATATCGATTTTATTATTATTATAATGATCAGTAATATGTTTGCATTTTTGGAGTGTTGCGCTCTGGCAACATGAGAGGTAGTCTTGCAGTAGTTAAGAATATTCACCCAGCCGGGCGTAGTGGCTCATGCCTGTAATCCCAGCAGTTTTGGAGGCTGAGGCGAGAGAATTGCCTGAGCCCACAGTTTTGAGATCAACCTGGGCAGCATGGTGAGACCTGGTCTCCACAATTAAAAAAAATAAAAATAGCCGGGCTCAGTGGCTCAGCCGGTAATCCCGCGCCTTTGGGAGGCTGAGGTGAGTGGATTGCCTGAGCCCACGGGTTTGAGGCCTGCCTGGGCAACTGGCGAGACCTCATCTCTACAATAAATCAAAAAATCAGCCGGGCGTGGTGGTGCATGCCTGTAATTCCAGCTACTCGGAAGGCTGAGGTGGCAGGATCACTGGAGCTCAGCAGGTCGAGGTTGCGCTGGCCGGAAGTGGCCACTGCACTCCAGTCTGGGTGACAGAGTGAGACTCCAACTCAAAAAAAAAAAAAAATAAATAAATAAATATTTTAAATTAAAAATAAATAAATAAATAAAATAAAATTAGCTGGGCGTGGTCATGGTGGTACATGCCTGTGGTTCCAGCTACTTGGAAGGCTGAGGCAGAAGGATTGCCTGAACCCAGCAGATAGAAGCTGCAGTGGTTGTGAGCATGCCACTGCACTCCAGTTTGAGCAACAAAGTGAGACTCCAACTCAAAAAAAAAAAAATTCATCCATTCTCTTTTGGCTTCACCACTTGCAAGCTGTGTGGCCTTGGAAAAACCTCTAACCCTCTCTGAGCCTCCATTTCCACTTGGTAAAATGGAGATAAGAACCAGGCACAGTGGCCCACGCCTGTAATCCCAGTAATTTGGAAGGCTGAGGAGAGAGAATTGCCTGAGCTCAGGGGTTTGAGACCAGCCTGGGCAACTTGGTGAGACTTCATCTCTACAATAAATTTTTTAAAAAGCTTAGCTGGGCATGGTGGTGCATGCCTGTGGTTCCAGCTACTTGGAAGGCTGAGGCAGAAGGATCAGCTAAACCCAGCAGGTCAAGGCTGCAGTGGCCATGAACATACCACTACTCTCCAGTCTGGGTGACAGAGTGAGATCCCAACTCAAAAAAAAAAAAAAGACAAGTCTGAAAAGGGACTTATTTAAGAGCTAAAGGGGACAAGAAAGCCCTGGGTGTCAACAGTCGTGCAAGGCTGTTTGGAGGTGAGGCATTGACACTGGTGGAGGCAGTGACCATTGACATTTATGAGATGCCTGTTATGTTAGAGGTTGGGAATTAGAGGTGGTATGACATGGTGTTAACCCTCAGCGAGTGTATAGTCTAGCTGGGGAGTAAAGACCTAGACTCAAAAATGGAATCTACAGCAGGTACAGTAATGCATGCCTGTAGTCCTAGATACTTGGGAGGCAGAGGCAAGAGGATTGCTTGAGCCTACGAGTTCAAGGCTGTAGTGTGCTATGATTACATTTGTAAATAACCACTGCACTCCAGCCTGGACAACGTGGCAAGACTCTGTTTCTTTTTTTTTTTTTTTTTTTT